AGAATAAGAAGATATAAGTTTAGTTACTTATAGGAGAACCACATGACACAATCAATATTAGAATGACTAAAATATGAATTACTGTATTAAATTTAATAATTAGGAGGTTTTTTTTTTATTAATTTAAGGGAGTAAATGCCCTCCAAATTGTGGTGTCACTCATCAAAAAACATACACGTCGCGCGCGCGCGCCATAGAGCATAACTATGAGAAGTAATGCGCAATGTTTCCATGATTTACGGTTCCAGCTTCAGAAGTTGCTCACCATGGACCCAATCAAGCGAATTACCTCAGAACAGGCTATGCAGGATCCCTACTTCTTAGAAGACCCACTTCCTACGTCAGAGTAAGTGACCGGTTTATCAACTCACCGGTGTGGCAGAGTTGGGGGGCGCCTCCTTGCTTTAAGCTGTCAACTCCAAGTTGCCACTCTGCTCACATGGGGACCCACAGAAATGCTGGACGGGCAAAAATTGTGCTCTGATGACCGAAGTTTCACGTCGGGGGGTCATAGGTCAGAGATGTCCCTGTCCCTCTCAGGCCTGGCCTGCGTGTCAGCAGTGACGCAGCTGTATGGTGGCAGGTGGTCGACGCTGTGGCTCGCTCAGATGCTCTGAGGTCGCTCACGGCCTGTGGTTACAGTTCAGTGTTCTGATTGCGAAATAAATTCGTATCCCCCATTCCGTCTTTTATTTTAAATGCAGTAGGGAGGGTAAGAATAATTATGTTTGAATAGTGACATTTCCACCGGAATCTATATTTCGGTGGTCGCCATCAAAGAGTTCACGCTGGGAGAAAAGAAAAAGTCGAGTCCTATTAGACGATGATTGATGATTTTGATACAATGGAAAGCCCTCGAATGACCTACTCTGGTGTCACTGGTGAGAAGAAAAGATTCATTTTGTCTCAGTTGTGTGAAAGGTTTTTACGTTACACATTTGGAGACAAAGTCCATCTGAAAAGATTAAAATGAAAAACCACTCAAATGAAGCATTGGAAATGCCGATTAGTATGCCAGAAATTGTGTTTCTTTTTCCTTCGGTCAGTGTTTTTGCCGGTTGTCAGATTCCTTACCCAAAACGGGAATTTCTAACAGAAGAAGAACCTGATGACAAAGGAGACAAAGTAAGTATCAAAGTACAGTCGGCGCTTCTGGCGCGGGCCAGCGTCGCGGGCGCCTCCTCTGGTGCGGGTGTATCTTGTTCTTCTTCTGAGTTGAACTTTATTTTTCTGTTGACCCAATTGAGAAGAACCAGCAGCAGCAGCAGGGCAATAACCACACGAACGGAACCGGCCACCCCGGCAATCAGGACAGCGGCCACACGCAGGGACCCCCGCTGAAAAAGGTGCGCGTCGCCCCGCCGACCACTACCTCAGGTGGACTGATCATGACCTCAGACTATCAGGTACTGGACGCGCGGCGTGCCGCCTTCGCGGCCCATTTCGTACCGGTTTTTCTGACCACGATGTCACGTGTCCGCTCTTTCTAAGATGTCACTTTTGCTAGACTTGGCAGAGTTTAGAATTATATGACTTATTGAACAGACTTTGAAAGAGGAAAGCCATAGATCACGGCTAATCTTGTATAGCGTTCGCCTTGGGAGCGAGTAGCATGAGACGCAGGTGCAGGGGCGGGAATAATAACGCAGCAGGTGACAGGTAGAGGCCCCTGAACTCTGCCTCTGTTCTCTTCCTTTGGGCCGGTTGTAGAGTTCAGGATGCTACTCTGACATTTCAGTAATTATCATCATACTTTTGAATATGACTTGCAGCAGAGAGTGAGATTCATTCGTTTAAAGGACACAAAAAGATTTAGTGCCGAGGAAAGTAATTCTGCGGCATCCCTTCTCGCCACGTCCATTTTTATCCGTTAGTCGTGCGTGCGCGTCGCGGAGCTTCCTCTGAAGACGCGAGCACGTGAATCTGCTTGGAATGTCTTAACGTGCACGTCGAGTTCACGTGTAAAGCTGTCAAGCACGTTAGTTATGAGTTCTCAAATAGGTGCAGAACAGCACGAAAAGGGGGTGCTGCCGTAGAACAACACAGCGTAGTCATGGACTTCGCACAGAAAAGCGGATACTAATAAAGATTTGGGGGTTCGGCCCTTTGAACGCGAAAGCTGCTGCGCGGCCCAAGACTTCTACTGGGGTCTTGAAGCCGTGGCGTCGGCGGCGCGCGGACGCGCGTGGCCA